CCCCACAACACGTCTGGTCAACACTTGGGGCCCAACAACACGTCTGGTCAACAGTTGGGGCCCCACAACACGTCTGGTCAACACTTGGGGCCCAACAACACGTCTGGTCAACACTTGGAGCCCCACAATACGTCTGGTCAACACTTGAGGCCCCACAACACGTCTGGTCAACACTTGAGGCCCCACAATACGTCTGGTCAACACTTGAGGCCCCACAACACGTCTGGTCAACACTTGGGGCCCCACAACACGTCTGGTCAACACTTGGGGCCCCACAACAAGTCTGGTCAACACTTGGGGCCCCACAATACGTCTGGTCAACACTTGGGGCCCCACAACAAGTCTGGTCAACACTTGGGGCCCCACAACAAGTCTGGTCAACACTTGGGGCCCAACAAAACGTCTGGCATCATGTAAATAAATAATGAGTTGGAATCCATGGGCGGTCATGTCGTCACTGGTGTGTTTACTGCCGTTATGTGTCTAGTTCATCATGAAGTTAGAGTTAATTAAGGATACAATCTACGTCAGGAGGTGAAATTTCCCTAAAAAGATAGACTCAGTTCTTATTCTGAGATAGAGAATGTTTTTCCATGTTGATGTAATATCTATGGCAGGATGTCTGGATGACGAAATATTCCTGACCTACAAAGACGCACAACAGCAACGAAATGTTCCAATAATTAGTAAAAAATTATCGACACTACAATAAAGGTCATATTACTGGTCCATTTGGTTTGAAAAGAATATCACAAGAAGATTACATTGTTGCTGTGACAAAAAAAACCTAAGAGACACGAAGACCTATTCCCTTCCTCCTTGAAAGTTGGTGTCTCCTCTTAATGGGGTATTATGGTTATATGTCTGGATGACGAAATATTCCTGACCTACAAAGACGCACAACAGCAACGAAATGTTCCAATAATTAGTAAAAAATTATCGACACTACAATAAAGGTCATATTACTGGTCCATTTGGTTTGAAAAGAATATCACAAGAAGATTACATTGTTGCTGTGACAAAAAAACCTAAGAGACACGAAGACCTATTCCCTTCCTCCTTGAAAGTTGGTGTCTCCTCTTAATGGGGTATTATGGTTATATGTCTGTGGAGCAAACTTTGTTTTAGTTTTCATGCAGATATGAATTCGATGTAGAGAGAGAGAGAAAGAGAGAGAGAGAGAGAGAGAGAGAGAGAGAGAGAGAGAGAGAGAGAGAGAGAGAGAGACACACACACACACAATGGTGAACTAGTCTTAGTAAAATATTTCTTTTGAACATTTTATCAACTTTACTTCTTCTCTCGCCATCACCATAAAATACACGATGTGCGAGTGATTCATGTTACATTTCCTTCCTTAGATAAATGAAATAAATTAATGAAACCATATTGTTCGGTGTTTTTGATCAAGGTCTACACAAGATACGTCATTTAGAGATTCATGGATGCCCTGATTGTAAAATAATAAGGTTGTCACTGTAAAAACAAAGATGTTACTGTAGAACCACACAGGCGGCACTGTAGAACCATACAGGCACCACTGTAGAACCATATAGGCACCACTGTAGAACCATATAGGCACCACTGTAGAACCATAGAGGCACCACTGTAGAACCATACAGGCACCACTGTAGAACCATACAGGCACCACTGTAGAACCATACAGGCACCACTGTAGAACCATATAGGCACCACTGTAGAGCCATACAGGCACCACTGTAGAACCATATAGGCACCACTGTAGAGCCATACAGGCACCACTGTAGAACCATACAGGCACCACTTTAGAACCATACATGCACTGCTGTGAAACCATACAGGTACCACTGTAGAACCATACAGGCACCACTGTAGAACCATACATTCACTGCTGTGGAACCATACAGGCACCACTGTAGAACCATACAGGCACAACTGTAGAACCATACAGGCACCACTGTAGAACCATACAGGCACCACTGTAGAACCATACATTCACTGCTGTAGAACCATACAGGCACCACTGTAGAACCATACAGGCACAACTGTAGAACCATACAGGCACCACTGTAGAACCATACATACACCACTGTAGAACCATGCATTCACTGCTGTGGAACCATGCATGCACCACTGTAGAACCATACAGGCACCACTGTAGAACCATACAGGCACCACTGTAGAACCATACAGGCACCACTGTAGAACCATACAGGCACCACTGTAGAACCATATAGGCACCACTGTAGAGCCATACATACACCACTGTAGAACCATATAGGCACCACTGTAGAGCCATACATACACCACTGTAGAACCATAAATTCACTGCTGTGGAACCATACAGGCACCACTGAAGAACCATGCATGCACTGCTGTAGAACCATACAGGCACCACTGTAGAACCATGCAAGCACCACTTAAGAGCTATATATGCACCACTGTAGAACCATACATTCACTGCTGTGGAACCATACAGGCACCACTGTAGAACCATAAATGCACTGCTGTAGAACCATACAGGCACCACTGTAGAACCATGCAAGCACACTGAAGAGCTATATATGCACCACTGTAGAACCATACATGCACTGCTGTAGAACCATACAGGCACCACTGTAGAACTATACAGGCACCACTGTAGAACCATACAGGCACCACTGTAGAACCATACAAGCACCACTGAAGAGCTATATATGCACCACTGTAGAACCATACATGCACTGCTGTAGAACCATACAGGCACCACTGTAGAGCCATACAGGCACCGCTGCAGAACCATACAGGAACCGCTGTAGAACCATGCAGGCACTACTGAAGAACAATGCATGCACCGCTGTAGAACCATCCAGGCACCACTGTAGAACCATACAGGCACCGCTGTAGAACCATACAGGAACCGCTGTAGAACCATACAGGCACCACTGTAGAACCATACAGGCACCACTGTAGAACCATACAGGCACCACTGTCACCACTGCAGAATCATACAAGCACCACTGAAGAGCTATATATGCACCACTGTAGAACCATGCATGCACCGCTGTAGAACCATACAGGCACCACTGTAGAACCATACAAGCACCGCTGTAGAACCATACAGGCACCACTGTAGAACCATACATGCACTGCTGTAAAACGTTAGCGCAAACCTTATAATTCTGAGTTGAATTGATACACTAGTACCAGGTGACAGGTGTCTCACTTTAATACACTAGTGCCAGGTGACAGGTGTCACTCCTTAAGACACTAGTACCAGGTGACAGGTACTGGTACCAGGTGACAGATGTCTCACTTTAATACACTAGTACCGGGTGACAGGTGTCTCACTTTAATACACTAGAGCCAGGTGACAGGTGTCACTCTTTAATACACTAGTACCAGGGGACAGGTGTCACTCTTTAATACACTAGTACCAGGGGACAGGTGTCTCACTTTAATACACTAGTATCCACGTGACAGGTGTCACTCTTTAATGCACTAGTACCAGGTGACAGGTGTCTCACTTTAATACACTAGTACCACGTGACAGGTGTCTCACTTTAATACACTAGTATCCACGTGACAGGGGTCACTCTTTAATACACTAGTTCCACGTGACAGGTGTCACTCTTTAATACACTAGTTCCACGTGACAGGTGTCACTCTGTAATACACTAGAACCACGTGACAGGTGTCTCAACTTAATACACTAGTACCAGTGGACAGGTGTCACTTTTTAAAACACCCGTACAAGGTGACAGGTACAGCAGGTGTCTGGCAACAGGTGTCTATAAAGATCATTTGTCTTTGTACAAAAATATAATTTTCCCCATCACTGTTATAAGTGCGTTACGTGTTGGTGGTTTAAACAGCTGGGTAATGTAGTGTGACAGTCATCCTACACACAACAGTCATGGGAAACACCTAACGGGAAACTTGTCTTGTGTAATATTCCATTTTGTTTAACAGTCATGACTTCGCGCCGCACAGTGGATTCATTGATCAATTATAATAAATCTTTTTTTTCTCGAATAACAATTTACCTAAAGAAGTAAAAGCTGGCGGTGGATTGGTGACACAAGACCTTTCGCTGACATAAGCAGTACCATACAAGGCTCCTCAGCAGTCATTTACAGTAGCATCAGTTGTGCTGTCAATAAGTAAGAAGTACTGCTATAGTCTCTGATGCACTCAAAGTTTCCTTATAATAGTTTTCATCATAAACTTATGGGTAATAATATCGTCATTCCATTCTGGGGTCCCTGGGAGACTGATTGACGCGAGTGTGACGTAAGAACGATCAACAGCTGTGAAGTGGAAACAGAATAAGTAATGAATTCTTTATAAGCTCTTTAGTTCTCAGCCTACCACGTAATTGATAAACTTACAGAAAATATTCCCCCAAAGACCAAAATTGAACACTGTAGACTTTCTATATTGGTGATGATAACTGTAATGTATGAACTATTGCCGTGCTTTCACAATGGAAGTGATTTAGTCGTCAACAAAAAAACAAAGTCATTATAGAAGACCCATGGCTATTTAATGATGAGAAAACGTGACGGTGAATATATTATTATCCTTTAGGATCCTGAAGACGCTCTCAATTCTTTCTTCACCAGTACCTCTATGTCGTCATCTGCTTGTACGTCACAGTAAACAAAATAGTATAATTGGTTGAAGATTCTCAGGTGTATGACTGAAACATCTTAAACAAATATAGTTGTTCTGTTAAACCAATAGAATAATAAGAGAGCTGTAGAGGTGTAGGGGAGGTGTAGGAGAGGACCGTAAAGAACCAAGAGTAAGCTTCGTTATATCTGCTGCCATCGAAGGATCTTGTCGCCAGTTTAACTCATCAGATCCAGTGACTTAGAGCCACTTAAACTTTTTCTTCAGTAATTCATCCATTCAAAGCAAAAGAATTCCAAATAAGAAAGACTTGACAATCCCAACTCATCTTTGCTTGACTGACGAAAGAAAAACCGAGGCTGGTGACAGGTTCTGGGTGGAAGTATAAAGCCTGGCTGGAGGCCAAGGAAGAATCAGTGTCTGCTACTACCAGAACACCTCACTATCAAACATGTTCTTCTCTGTGAGTACTGCAGATTTTAGTTAACATCTCGATATTTTATGTGTGTTAAATTATTACAATGATTGTAACTTGCAAACAGATTTTATTTGTCAGTTTTAATACGACTGCACTGTGATTGGTGTAGATCACGCTCTGGTACTGAGCATGGAGCATTTGGTTAAGTGTCATGATAGACACAAAATGGAAGCTGTTCTGAAAATATAGTCAGATGATTTTATATACAGTAGTCCATTAAATGAAATTTCTTAATTTGTGTGTTGAAAACCTTTATGACGACGTATGTTTCGAGACATCAGGGACAGTGTTTACGACTAGACAGTTAGTTCATTAAAAACAGATCAATATTTTCATTCTCAATAATGAATTAACAAATGTATATATTGACAATCCCAACACTTGCGTCCGCCCTACGAAAAAGATCCTTCTTCCTTTAGCAATTTTCAGATGTCAAAGTTCAGCCTCTTGCATCCGTCTATTCCATGTTGCCCTGTCTTCAGCCTCTACTACTCTCTCTTTAATTACTTCCTCTTGATCGCCCTCTCATCGGCTCTATCCAGGCCATTTTCACTACCTCCTCCTCCTCCTCTCGTCGTACAAAGCTTACAAGTTATTTCAGTTTTGTTTCCGTTTCTCTTCTTATCGCGTGTAAGTCTCATTAAATACAGTACCCGAGCTGAGTGTTGTATAATAGTTTGGGAAGACTGGAAGGGGTTACATTTCCCCCCTGCCGAGCTAATTGTACATCAAGTTAAAACAGATGACCAGACAGATGGCTCACTTTAGACATAACTTCTCTTGAGTCTATGTTGCCCAAGAAATTATTCTTATGTGTGCTCTTGCAGACAACACTTCTCTCAATCTTAATCTAACATCACTAGGAATAGAGGAGTATGAAATAATTTTTATCAGCCATCTCAAAAACCACTCCAGTAAGTACAAACAACTCTCTTGACCAGTTAAACAATGGTAGGATCATAGACACAACCCCGATAATCAGCTAAGGTTTGGTAGGGTCACACTTTAGGCAGGAGGTGGTGTAGAAGTTAACTTTAGGATTAACAGTGTTACTTGAATTATATGTTTACTGCATACATGTTCTGTAAGCCAACAATATTAATAATAGCTTACGTATGTATTACTTTTTCACCCACCTACAGTTCACAGTTGATAGTTTAGTTCTAATCTTCTCAGTGAATCAATTAGCAGACACCAAGTCATGAAGGATGAATCTGTATGATAAAATAGTCAATCCCAGTCGAACTAAACACGCGTTTTTAATCACTTATTACAATATTCACTTTGTGATTCACTTCAGATTTCACTGACAACATCTGATATGTTCCATCTGTACATTGTCACAGGTGGCGTTGATGTGTATGCTGGTGGCCGCGGGTGTGGCTCTTCCAGACGGCTACGATGTAAGTTTTCTAATATTATCTTTCTAATTGAGATAACATAACCACTGTCTCTCTCTCATGAATATATACAAAAATATGTCTAGTATATGACATCACAAAGCTTACCAACCCCGTGGTGTGTTGACAGGTGCCCACCCCCTACACCTTCAACTATGGGGTCACCGCCGGCAACAACAACTTCGGCCGCTACGAGAGTGGTGACGGACGCAACGTCAGGGGCAAGTACTATGTGCACCTTCCCGACGGCCGAGTACAGACAGTGGGTTACTGGGCCGACGGCAGCGGCTTCCACTCTACTGTGAACTACCAGGGCACCGCTAGTCATCCCGGCAGTGGTTATGGCTACCATTAACACCAACCATCGCCAAGCCTTGTCGTCAAGGTGACCAACGACAAAGCAACGTCTTCCATTGTTTCACTAGGAAAACAAATCCAATATGTTTCCCATTTATTCTTCTTGACTATGTATGAAAGATGCCAGTATACTGTACGTGCGAGTCAGTGACCAAATGTTGAATTAAACATTGAGGATCAAGTGTGGTGCCAGACAAGTTTGACCAGGTCAGACAAGCCAGTCAGCTTTATTTCGTCATGCTCGGCCTCACCCACACCTCCTGCACCAGGTATTAGCTCTGTATATTATGATGCTATTAATAAAGTTTTAGATCACTATAAATTATTTTTTTAAATGTTTTGATGAATCAGATATTTGACAACTGAATGATGCAGCAATGGAGATTTTGTCAAATAAATTAATACATAAAGATGTATAAAGAAGAATTTGAAACAAAAGAGTTAATCCAGTGATAATAATATAATAACCCGTTATAGTACCTCCTTCATTCCTCACACAGCCAAACTGTGGAATGCTCTGCCTTCTTCCGTGTTTCCATACTCATACAATCTGTCTCACTTAAAACTAAAGCTGGTTTTCCGGCGTCTTCATGGTGTAGATTAACACAGTATAACCTTTTCCTCTCTATTTTTAATTTATATTCCCTCTTATTTTATCGCCCCCCTAGGCCCCGTTGTATATAATTACATATATACAAAACAAATCCTCTCCAGAAAGATGATGTTCTTGAGTAACTGACAAGGAGTGAGACATTTGTTGCTTTATCAATACACTGAAGATACTGTCTGTGAGGAAATATAGATAAGAGTTCTTCCACTTTAGAGAATTATTTCCTCCTAATAACATTTCATAACGGACTGGAACACATTACCTGACCACATCAAAGCCAGTGATAGCATTAAACAATTCAAATCTAAAACTCAACAATACACAGCAGTTGAAGCTACAGCAAGAGAAGAGAGTGAGTTTCTGTATTATTAACCACAAAATGTTGTATTGTTGAAGTGATCCGCCACCCCAAGTGCAGAGTAATGCTTGTTGAATTTATCACTAATACTCCTGTACACATTCTATTACTGACTAGAGACCAAGGGTAAGCCGAAGTGTAGGACCTCCTGGAAATAAACAGCTGACAGTTATCCTTGGTCAAGTTGCCTTACTCTTTACCATTGGCGTTTACCTGCACTGTCTTGGCACACAGTATACCCCCGCTGTCTACCTGCACCGTATACCTACATTGTCTGTATTCATGATGGACTGTATTCCTGCATAGTTTATAAATATGCTAATCCAATTGTAAACCTGTATGACAACTTTACATAATAATAATAATAATAATAATAATAATAATAATAATAATAATAATAATAATAATAATAATAATAATAATAATAATAATAATAATAATAATGATAATATTAATAATAATAATAGTAATAATAATAATAATAATAATAATAATAATAATAATAATAATAATAATAATAATAATAAAAATAATAATTATTATTATTATTATTATTATTGTTAGTAGTAGTAGTAGTAGTAGTAGGAGGAGGAGGAGGTGGGCGCCTCGAACTGGTTACCTCGAACAGGTTAGGGAAGAGAAGAGGCAGGACGGTGTGGTGCAAGGAGAGGAAAGGGCAGTTGTACAAACCCTGCCCAGAGGTAAGGTCGTGGTAGTTGGTGACAGCCAGGTGAGGTTTATGGATAGGGCTTTTTGTGCAAGAGATAGGAAACGTAGGACTAGGGTGTGTTTTCCTTGGGCTGGGATAGGGCATGTAGCCGAGAGGTTAGACAGAGTTTGTCAGGGGAGGGTACCAATCCAGTAGTGTGTCTTAGTGTGGGAGGAAACGACATAGGAAAGGTTAGGAGTGAGGAACTTTTCAAGAGGTGTAGGGAGGCGCTGGGGAAGATTAGAGATAGGGGAGGGATCCCGATAGTATGTGGTGTCTTGCCTAGAAGACGGGTTGGTCGTGAATGCCTGTCCAGGGCAATTGCTATAAATTGTCGACTGGAAAAACATTGTGCAAACAGTGGTTGGGCATTCATTGATAGCTGGCAATGATTCTATGGCAACGACTACCTGTACAGTCGTGACGGGGTACACTTGTTTCGTGCGGGGGGTAAAGACGTTGTCTGCATCCCTAGAGCGTGAAATTGTCACTCCGAAGGGGGGATTTCGCCAGTAGAGAGAGGTCGGGGAAAGTGGGAGTCAAAAAACAAGCAGGTCCTGGGAAGTAAAATTGATTACTCAGGACAAGGGGTAAAACAGGACTAGGGAAGGGGAGGTTTAAATGTATACTATACAAACAGCAGGAGCGTTAGAAATAAAATAGACTTGCTGAGAGCTGTTGTATGTACCGAGAATGTAGTCGTCATAGCAATCACCGAAACTTGGATGAATCTGGCGAGCAAAATCTTTTTATCAGAGTACCTCATAGAAGGGTACAACCTTTTTCACAAGGACAGGGAAGGTAGGAAGGGGGGAGGGGTCGCACTCTTCGTCAAGGATACATTAAAATGTTTTATTAATAATTCAATAAAGGGTGAAATAGGAACCGAGTCTGTGTGGGTAGAAATCACGGAAGGAAGAGAAAAACTAATTATGGGAGTGATTTATAGGCCCCCAAGTCTTGGGAAAGAAGCAGCTCAGCCCATATGGCAGGAAATGAGTAGGGCAGCAAAATGTAAGAACCCGTGCAATATGGGGGATTTCAACTTCAGAAATATTGACTGGGACAACATTGTAGGTGACTATGAATCTGAAGACTTCCTAGACGCAGTACAGGACAATTTTTTGAAACAACAAATTACAGAACCTACTTGAGGTGACAATATATTAGACCTAGTATTAACAAATAAAGAAAATATTATCAGAGATATCACAGTAGGGGAAGAACTAGGTAACAGTGATCACAGAGAAATCAGGTTCACCCTAAATTGGGAAACGAAAAACAATGACAGTATGGTCAGAGTCCCAAACTTTCAGTTGCCGGATTATCAGGGGTTAAGAAGGTACCTAGGTAAGGTCACCTGGGAACAGTCACGTCAGTCCCCAGTAGGAAGGGGTGAGGTCATAGATGACACAACAATTGATCATGACTATAATATATTCACTAGTATACTACACAAGAACAAAATATACACAAGAACAAAATATACCATACAGAAAAATTTGGTCAAATAAGAATGAGCCAAGTTGAATGACCAGAAAACTTTAACATGACATAGGAATAAAGAAAGGAATTTATAAGAAATTAAAGGGAGGGGAGGAGCAGCTCAGAGATAGGTAAAATGAACTATCAAGGAATGTTAAGAAAAATGTAAGGAAAGCAAAGAGAGACTATGGAATCAGAATAGCCAGAGAATCCAAGGCGAATCCCAAGGGATTTTTCCAGGTATATAGAACAAAGGTCAAGGACAAAGTTGGGCCTTTAAAGTCAGGTTACGTCACAAGCCTGTACTCGGAAAGATCACGGCAGGGTTAGCTCCCGAGGGATAATTATCAGATATGGCCAGTCCTATGTGCGGTCTTGGGTATGTGAGTTTGTTGACCAAACTGGAGTGGTCCATGGAAGAATTGGCGAGGGCCAAGGAAGAAATTGAGAGGGCCACGATGGAGAACCTGAAATTAAAGGAAGAGCTGGCTAGGTTAAAAGGGGAGGATGGACAGGGAAAGCCAGTGTCTGACGAAAACTTAAGCGAGTGAAATGTTGTGAGTAGTGGGAAGGAAGACGAAGCTGGTGGTGAAGAAGTGCACCAAGGATACGACAACAACGACAACAACAGCTAAGTGTACCAACCCGTTCAGTCCCTTGATAGACAAATTGGATGTTAGTACAGTCAGGGACAGGGATGACAAGGAAGGTATAAAAATTTAATTGTTGGAGACTCACAGGTAAGGGACATGGACAGGGCCTTTTGTGGTAAAAACAAAAATAGGATGAGGGTGTGTTTGCCAGGAGCTGGGGTGGGGGATATAGTTGACAGGATGGACAATATCTTGTCTGGTAATGGGAACAAACCCATTATCTGCCTCAGTGCAGGAGGCAATAATATTGGCCAGTGTAGGAGCGAGGAGCTTCTTGATAAGTTCAAGGCAGCTATAGATCGTATTAGGTCTAAGGGAGGGATCCCTATTATATGCAGTGTCCTGCCTAGAAGGAGAGTTGGCAGTGAATGGTTGTCAAGGGCGGTTGGTATCAACGACCGTCTTGACAGTTACTGCAAGTCAATATCGGTCCCATTCATTGACAACTGGGACAACTTCTACGGCAGAAGGGACCTTTATGCTAGGGATGGGGTGCACCTGTCTCGGGATGGGGTGGCAACCCTAGCTGGGTCTCTAGAGGGGGCAGTTCAAAGGATATCAAAGTCTTTAAACTGCTAGGGGAACATATGGGCACGGGGGTGGGGGAAACTGCAGTGGGAGCGGGTAAACAAAGTATAAGATTACAGGGAAATAGTGTTAGGAATGATGACAAAACTAAATTAAACGGAGTTTAAAACTAAACGCGGTAAAGGGAGGACTCAGAACAAGACTAACTTAAATGTCTACTAGGCGAACAAAATGGATGAGATTAGGGCCTTGGTATGTACCGAAAAAATCGATATAATAGCATTCACTGAAACATGGATCAACCTAGACTCACGGGAGTTGCCAGTCGAATACCAAATTGCGGGTTACAAATTGTTCCATACGGATAGGCAAACCAGGAAAGGAGGCGGAGTTGCAATCTATGTTAGGGATAATGTGAAGTGTGAAATAAATAAGGAAAAAAACTGAGAGGAATACAAAAACAATTTGGATAGAATTAAGCGACGGTAGGGAAAAATTAATCACAGGAGTAATATATAGACCTCCCAATCTTGATAGAGTCAATGAGCGACTTATCTGGGATGAAATGCGCAGGGCTTCCATACACAACAAAGTCTGTATAGTAGGCGACTTTAACCTTGGCCAAATAGATTGGACTGACCTTACGGGTAACTCAGAATCAGAGGATTTTCTCGAGACGATCCAGGACTGTTTTCTAAGTCAACATATAACTGAACCCACATGGGGTAATAATATACCCGATTTAGTTCTGTCGAACAGAGAAAACCTCATTAACAATGTCGAGGTAGGGAACGAACTTGCAAACAGGGATCACAAAGAAATTCGATTCCAGTTAGATTTTCAGGGCAGACGTAAGGAAAATTCCACTAAAGTACCAGATTTCAGAAGGGCAAACTTTGACAGTTTAAGGAGGCAGCTGAGAGAGGGGGTGTCGCACTTGGCTGTGAACCTGACAGATGACTCCGACCTGATAACGACATCTGAGACTGCCGAGTTCCACGTCAATTTAAATAATGAGTTACTTAATGCACAGAGGCAGAACACACCATACAAAAAACTCACATCAGACAACAATGAGCCTAAATGGATAAATAATTATTTAAAGAACATCATTGGCCAAAGGAAGGCTATAGGTAGAAGGATTAAGCTTGGCGAAATTTACCTCCAGGATTATTATAAGATATTGGCGAGTAGGGTTAAAACCGAGATAAGGAAAGCCAAGAGGAATAATGAGGTAAGGATAGCAATGGAGGCGAAGACAAACCCCAAAGGATTTTACCAAATGTATCAAACTAAAACACGAGAAAAGATTGGACCAATACGGTCAGATACCGGCGAGCTCACTGATAACGACGGAGAATGAGCAATAATTTGAATAAAGATTTTTCAACAGTTTTCACCCCCGAAAATTTAAACATGATACCCGAGGCACCGACTCTATTCAGAGATAGTGAAGAAAACAAATTAAGCTAGATAGTAGTGACTAGTAACGATGTTAGTAAGCAAATAGACAAACTAAAGCCTACTAAGTCACCTGATCCCGATGAGATATTTGCCAGAGTATTAAAGGAATGTAAGGAAGAGCTTAGCATGCCCTTAGCTAAGTTGTTTAACATGTCCTTAAAAACAGGTGTAGTACCAGAATCCTGGAGGATAGCGAATGTAATACCGATTTTCAAGAAGGGGGATAGATCACTATCCTCTAACTATCGCCCAATCAGTCTAACATCAATTGTAGGCAAATTACTTAAAGCAATCATTTCAAACTCTATTCGAAATCACCTGGAGAACCACCGATTAATCAATGATTCCTAGCATGGCTTCACAAGCGGACGTTCTTGTCTAACTAATCTATTAACATTCTTCTCATCAGTTTCCGAATCAGTGGACGAGGGGCACAATTATGATGTGGTATATCTGGACTTTAGCAAAGCCTTCGACAGAGTCACCCACGAAAGACTAATTAGAAAGGTAGAAGCACATGGTATCAAAGGCAATATCCTTAAATGGATTAGGGCGTGGTTACAGGACAGGAAACAGAGTGAGCATCAACGGCACTAAGTCCTATTGGGGCAACGTCACTAGTGGAGTTCCCCAAGGCTCAGTACTTGAACCATTATTATTTATTATATACATAAACGACATAGATATCGGCATAGATAGCAACATAAGTAAATTTGCTGAAGACAATAAAATAGGACGCATTATTAAATCTGAGGAGGACTCCGCAAAACTACAGGAAGATCTAAACAAAATTTTCGAATGGTCTGAAAAATGGCAGATGAAATTCAACGAGGACAAATGTAAAGTACTCAGTATAGGAGATGTAAACAGGGAAACCAAATACCAGATGAACAATGATGCCATCGAGAAATCCGGCTGAGAGAGAGATTCAGGAGTAATGATAAGTAGGAACCTTAAGCCAAGTAAACAATGTGTTTTTGCTTGTAACAAGGCTAATAAGGTGCTTGGGTTCATACAAAGGAGTGTTAGTTACAAGACTAGCCAGGTCATCCTTAAACTGTATCTTGGGCTTGTGAGACCACACCTGGATGCGCAGTTCAGTTCTGGTCACCGTATTACAGAATGGATATAGAATCCTCAGATAGAATTCAGAGGAGAATGACAAGACTAATCCCGGGCATTAGGAACCTTGAGTATAGAGACAGGTTAAAGCATCATAATTTGCACTCTCTCGAGAGACGGAGAGCGAGGGGCGACCTGATAGAGGTGTATAAATGAAAGTCAGGGCTAAACAAAGGGACATTACAAAGGTACTCAAACTATCCAACCAGGAGAGAACTCGTAACAATGGTTTTAAATTAAACAAATTTAGATTTAGGCGTGAAATAGGTAAACACTGGTTTGGAAACAGAGTAGTGGATGAATGGAACAAGTTACCAAATATCATCATTAACTCGAATACGTTGAATAGCTTCAAACATAGGTTGCATGCTTATATGAGCAAAAGGGGTTGGGTGTAAACGGGACTGACCAGTATGGGCCAATAGGCCCGCTGCAGTTTCCTCCATTCTCATGTTCTTATGTTAATATAGGCTCAAACCTTAAATACCCTAGATCTTTAATAGACAAATGCCTGAACATTACCAAGAAATCTTTTTATAGAACTGATCCCAAGCCCACCCATGACCATAAGAATCTCTTAGTATTACCATTTCACAAAAAATTTTCTCAAATTCCCTTACAACTAAAAACCTGGAACGTCAATGTGGCATTTATAAACTCATGCACTGTTAAACAAATGTTAATCAAGAACTCCCCCAACAATGCAAGTGGCTGCATTTATAAAGTTCTTTGCAAGGAATGTAATATGTTTTACTTAGGCCAGACAGGAAAAGATCTTGAAACTAGACTTAAACAACATAAATATAGTGTTAGGACAGGCCAGGAATCCAATGCTCTGTTTGTTCATTTGAGGGATAATAAACTTTGCATTAACTAGGATAATGCCTCCTCAATATTACCTTGCAATTCAATTGACAGTAGGAACATTATAGAATCTAGTCTCATTAAACATACCGAATCCGTCAACATGAATTTGAGTAATGGTATGTACAAACTGGACAATTTCGTAATTAAGAAGATTTGTAACCAGGTGAGAAGGTTGGGTCAGCTTACCCTCTGACCTGACTGCCGACCGCTGTGGTGCTTTTGTGAAGATTAGAAGGGTCATTACCTATGCCTGACCACTGTGGATTTAGTCTCACCCTCCTCTGTATCTATATATAGCTTGTTCTGTACTTCTCCTTAGTCTGTACTCACCCCTGAAGATGTGAATTACACGAAAGCGCTTGGGAACTTCGTGTTTTCTTTTTTCCTTGTAGTTATCAGCATATATATATATATATATATATATATATATATATATATATATATATATATATATATATATATATATATATATATATATATATATATATATATATATATATATATATGATTCAGCAAAACCTCTTAGATTTTGTGAACAGTCAAATAATTTTTTATGATGATCTAAAACTTTATTAACGGCATCTTGATATACAGAAACAAGGCCAGATACAGGAGGTGTGGGTGAGGCCATGCATGACGGTGTAAAGCTCACTGCTTGGTAACACCTTTGTTCCACAATGTTTCCTTCAACATTTAATAAGTGACTCGTTACTGATACCTTTCATACATAGGCAAGAAGACTTTTTTTCTTTTAAGTATAATGTATTTTTTCTCGGGGAAAGAAAGGAAGACGTTGCTTTTTCTTTAGTAATCATGAGTTTAACCTAAAGGACCAGGCTTGGCGATGGTTGGTGTTAGTGGTAGCCATAACCACTGCCGGGATGACTGGCGGTGCCCTGGTAGTTCACAGTAGAATGGAAGCCGCTGCCGTCGGCCCGGTAACCCACCGTCTGTACTCGGCCGTCGGGAAGGTGCACATAGTACTTGCCCCTGACGTTGCGTCCGTCACCACTCTCGTGTTGGCCGAAGTTGTTGCCGGCGGTGACTCCACAGTTGAAGGTGTAGGGGGTGGGCACCTGTCCACACACCACGGGGGAGGGCAAAATGTAATTAATTTGAAATTAGATAAATTATGTTGAATAAGAGAATCTAAATGAAACACTATCTTCATTAGCTTGCTGCGAAACACAACATGGAAAGACGTACATTGTATGAAGGGTGTTGGTAGCCGCCTGGGAGAGCCACACTTGCGGCCACCAGCAGGCACATCAACGCCACCTGGTGCAGATTAACAGATTCATAGTAATGTTATGTATGACACGTTGACTTCTCTGTATTCGTATTATTGGCCCATGGAAAGAAATATATTAAAATGTTGATATGTTGATAAAATTGTGTTGAAGCGACACAACCATGAATTCACTTGAGGTTCTAAAAGAACCTATTGGTAGAATTGGGTTTACGACTCGTTTCTCTACTATTAATTTGCCAGTCATATTCTCTGATTTGTTTTGATTCCTCCCCCAAAAAAAAAAGCTAGAAAAGAAAAGAGACGACCTACGAGACACTGAGTGTAGTCTATCAACAAGACTCCTTCAGGTCCCAAATGGAAAGCAATTACTCAAATATTTTTGCCTATCACTGTACGACCTTGTGTAACTAACAATAGAAAATGGCGGCTGGGTGATTCAGGGTCCGGGCGGCTGGAGGTATAAAGCAAGGCTGGAGGCCAGGAAGGAGCCAGTGTCTGCTACCTCCCCAACACTACACTACCAAACATGTTCACCTCTGTAAGTATTGCTGACTTGGACCCACCAACATCTCTGTCAGTGTTGCTGGCTCTGACTAGGCAATGATTGAGAACTTCTAAATGTTAAATGAAAACGTATTATTTCAAACTAAATTGAATGATTATATATTATGCCAGTTACAAAGACTGAATAAAAAGTCAATATTTTTAATTTAAAATAAAAACAATTAAATAAACTCGAATAATACAGAGAGAAAGTAAAAAACATTCATATTGACACAGCAGTTTTACTGTAACTCTCTTGAATGTGACTGTTGAAATATTATATATTCAAATCAAGACAACTATCACATACTAAAATATCCTCTAGATTGCAATGTGTTCCATGGTATAAGATAATACATATCAGATAAAACTGCTACCAAGCTTTTGCATGTGTTCCTTACTACTGTATATACTGATTTTTGTCCACAAAATACCAAAACAGATTACCCTGTGGTTAACCCAATGCATAACTGGATCCTTAATGATAAAACAATATTCAAAATAATTGCTTACTGTAGGAGTGACCAGGTCATCACTAACACTGTTTACTGTAGGAGTGACCAGGTCATCACTGACACTGTTTACTGTAGGAGTGACCAGGTCATCACTAACACTGTTTACTGTAGGAGTGACCAGGTCATCACTGACACTGTTTACTGTAGGAGTGACCAGGTCATCACTGACACTGTTTACTGTAGGAGTGACCAGGTCATCACTAACACTGTTTACTGTAGGAGTGACCAGGTCATCACTAACACTGTTTACTGTAGGAGTGACCAGGTCATCACTAACACTGTTTACTGTAGGAGTGACCAGGTCATCACTAACACTGTTTACTGTAGGAGTGACCAGGTCATCACTGACACTGTTTACTGTAGGAATGACCAGGTCATCACTGACACTGTTTACTGTAGGAGTGACCAGGTCATCACTAACACTGTTTACTGTAGGAGTGACCAGGTCATCACTAACACTGTTTACTGTAGGAGTGACCAGGTCATCACTAACACTGTTTACTGTAGGAGTGACCAGGTCATCACTAACACTGTTTACTGTAGGAGTGACCAGGTCATCACTAACACTGTTTACTGTAGGAATGACCAGGTCATCACTGACACTGTTTACTGTAGGAGTGACCAGGTCATCACTAACACTGTTTACTGTAGGAGTGACCAGGTCATCACTAACACTGTTTACTGTAGGAGTGACCAGGTCATCACTAACACTGTTTACTGTAGGAATGACCAGGTCATCACTGACACTGTTTACTGTAGGAGTGACCAGGTCATCACTAACACTGTTTACTGTAGGAGTGACCAGGTCATCACTAACACTGTTTACTGTAGGAGTGACTAGGTCATCACTAACTGATATATGATGTCACTATTTAAATATTGTTTAATAGAGGCTCTGCCAGGTCACCGACCAACATGTACAGAAGTGATGGTTCACTACCCCCCATTGTATTCATTATCCGGATCAGATATAGTGGTAACCTGCAGTCGGGGAAGAATACTTAGTAAAAAAAATGACAAGCGCCCTGAATACAAGGTTCTATAGTTTGTTATTATCATTTTAATATATTTCTATCCATGGGGAAATTATACGAATACAGAGAAGTCAACGTGTCATACATAACATTACTATGAATCTGTTAATCTGCACCAGGTGGCGTTGATGTGCCTGCTGGTGGCCGCAAGTGTGGCTCTCCCAGGCGGCTACCAACAACCTTCATACAATGTACGTCCTTCCATTTTGTGTTTCGCAGTAAGCTAATGAAGATAGTGTTTCCTCTAGATTCTCTTATTCAACATAATTTATCTAATTTCAAATTAATTACATTTTGCCCTCCCCATGGTGTGTTGACAGGTGCCCACTCCCTACACCTTCAACTATGGGGTCACCGCCGGCAACAACAACTTCGGTCAACACGAGAGTGGTGACGGACGCAACGTCAGGGGCAAGTACTATGTGCACCTTCCCGACGGCCGAGTACAGACGGTGGGTTACTGGGCTGACGGCAGCGGCTTCCATTCTACTGTGAACTACCAGGGCACCGCCAGTCATCCCGGCAGTGGTTATGGCTACCACTAACACCAACCATCGCCAAGCCTGGTCCTTTAGGTTAAACTCATGAATATTAAACAAAAGCAACGTCTTCCTTTGTTTCCCTGAGAAAAAATACATTATACTTAAAAAAAATTCTTCTTGCCTATGTATGAAAAGTATCAGTACACTACGAGTCACTTATTAAATGTTGAAGGAAACATTGTGGAACAAAGGTGTTACCAAGCAGTGAGCTTTACACCGTCATGCATGGCCTCACCCACACCTCCTGTATCTGGCCTTGTTTCAGTATATTAAGATGCCGTGGGTGGAGTGAAGGCAGGGGCCCATTGACTTTCTCTCCAACCAACACCTTCCCACCGTGAGTTACCAAGTCATCACTTACACTTTCCGTAAATACGTTTTGTGTTTACGTTTCAGACAATTATCTAACTTCTATAATACAAGACTGACAACACTCTCTCTGTTTCCATCAGATTTTCTCTTGTTCATATATCAAAACAGTATGACTTCAACTTCGAACTGCCGTCTCGTAAGAATACACGAGTAACCAACACAATCTCTTAACACAAAATACTCTACACATAAGGATACAAGGTGCCTCCAACATATACTCAATACAACTAGAATATTTTCTCTCACCGTGGGTATACATCATTGACCGTACAATAAATTCATTCATTCACAATTTCAAACTCCCTAAACATCCTGAGTTATACAGAGTCCCTGCGCGAGTAAACAAAAAGAAAACGGGGGACTAAGACATACTGAAATGTTTAGAAAACGAACGTCTCCACTGAAAACTCAAACGTTTCACATGTTTTGTGGGCGCTGTAGCTTAATATAAATGATTAAGTGTGAACAGACTAACTCCACAAACGTTTAAGCATTGCACTAGATGGTGGGACAAAGTCTCTGAAAGGACCAGAATGTCGTCCTGTCATGGTTATAATGACATGGTTAGTCTGTTAAAACCTTATAATTCATATTACGCTCCATGCCCACAAAACCTGTAAGTCTTTTGAGTCTCTCAGTTGAAACATTCGTTCTCTAACTACTTCAGGAGATCTGAGTTTTTCGTTTTCTATGTTTTAATAGGAGAAACTCAAGTATTTCCAAATTCGGCACAGGGTGTTCATGCATTTGAATTGGTAAAAGAACACCCTTGCTTTGCGTCAACTTAGAGATGTCTGATTGCAGATGAAGCATTCAAGATCCGTTGTGACTGATGTTGAAAGCTTCAACTGTATTTACTGTTAGCCTAATTGTCAATATAAATCAGGGTAGAGTCGGCAGTGACAGTGAGGTATTGTTGACGTCGGCCCTAGAGATGCCAGTGCTTGTTGACCGAGGCTGAAGTCACCTCTTTTTCACCTATGAACATCAGAGAATCTGATGTTCATGGTGAAATTGTTGTAAGGATGTTAATTACGAAAGTAATTAATTAACCTGAAGGGAACTGTCAGATAGGTATCTTTGAGAATCTAACGGGTGTAACCTGACGCTCACCAGGGACTGCCATACTGAACCTTGAAATCAATTTAATTCTTGTCTTCGACAGCTCAGTCCGAGCGTAGTTTGAAAAGCGAACCGTAGGAAATGGAAATGAGTTTGTAGTCTTAGTTTCACACGTCAAAGAGTACAGTAATCGTAGATCATTGAAATAGTTGGGTGAGTGGAATTCGGAGCTAAGCGACGGAGGAGTGCTGGACACTGACGCCCAGCGTCTGAAACTCCTCTGTAAGGGCGCGTGTTTCCAACACCTACACCACCCTTATCTTACTTACTTCTCTTGTTCTAGTTCTTACTCTTACTCAGTTCCTTCATATGTTCTTTTTACTTACTTCACTGGTTACTGCCTAAGCTTAGTTCTTGGTATCATGGACATTCTTTTGGTAGCATGGTCGAGGGCCTAGGCACATGGGTATGGTAATTCTGGTATCAAGTCACTTGGACGGAAATAAAGGTGAACTACTGTGGGAGAAATGAATGCACCTAAAATACTCTAAGAACAAGTTTATTAATATGAAATCAAAGGGAAAAAGAGATATTATTAACATAACTACCAGGCTCAACCCCTGGGATTATTGCAGACTCAGTATTTTCTTCTTCACTTATTTTCGTATTTACTTATTTTCTTATTTCTTTACTCAACAGTAATTACTCTGATCTTACAATCTTGCTGCACACGACCTTACTGGTGTTACATTACATTACGTTACATTACAGGATCGGTTCCTTGGCCCTACTCACAATACAGAGTACATGGCACTCCTTGTGCATTACTTTACTTCTCACACCTACTGGTGGTACGTGGCATTACAGTACAGATACAAGACTTTACTCAACATACACGTTAATACTGAAACCAGCAGATACCTGGGTCCACTACCCAACATGGGATAATTATTTCCTGCTAATTATCCCTAACATACATATTACAATCCACTAGGTGGACATTTAACTTCCAAGGAGTGTCCCAAGGTGGAACACTGTTCACGACCGTTGTTGTGGTCGGTGGTAGCCAGACACATGGCGAGTCTGGGGTCTGGTACCAAGAGGCAGTGGAGCATATTAATCAGGCCACATCGGTGCCATCGTTTCATATATTGTTCCCTGCTGAGTAGCTACTACATCCGGGGCAGTTGTCGAGTGATCCAAGAGTCACAATTGGATCTGGAAACAAACGTTGGAGCGGGCGTCAAGGGACGCTCGTCCTGCGTGATCCCTTGGTATATATATCCCCTGAGTTGCCAGTGATCGCTACTCACGCAATGACAGCAATTACAAACAACTCTAACTGTTACTCATTCAAAGATGACCCTCAGTTGACAAAGGTCTGGCGAATTACTTGAGTTCATATACACAGACTAATTCAAGATTGAGCTTCCCAGGAGAAAGTGGAATAAACAAAGCATTGATAACTGTCTTCACAAAGGCGGGACTCTAGGAGGGAACAAGTATAGCGTCGATGGGGAAAAAACACTTCTTCTCAGGGGTCGCTAACCCACTCATGTTTTGTGGTCGTGGAGTTTAATAAGAATCATTAGTTAAATAGACTAGCAGTCAACGTGACCATGACACCTCCACCCACAGGTTCCTCTCGGTCAAGAGCCTTGTAGATTGGGACGACCTCCACACTAGTGTGGGAGATGGATGATGGCCAGTAAACTCGGGTAAATGTGTGAACACGAGCGTCAGGAACTAACCACCTCCTCTGGGGCCCGGTCAACTGGCCAGCCGTTGACCTGACGTGTTCACTGTCCAGCTTGTTGATCTCACAGGCCGAGCAAACACTGCCAGCCCACATCATTGTTATGGATGAGTCCACTACCAGTAGGGCTATATGTTGTGGCTGTGTTAGTAAACCTGTATGTATTCACCTGAATTGTCTGAGTGTTTGGTGTCAGTAAGAGTAGGTTGACCACCACTTTACTTGTGGACAAAGATACCACAGTGGTGAAGAGAAGCTACTAATTATGGTGATGTTAACGTATTAGTGTTGGTGCTGTAACTGGCATCATTGCCACTTCTAATAATGGTGCTCAAAGGAGCTATGTAAGAGTATTGTGTGTTCTTATATATGTACACCCAGTCATGGTGTAAGTGGAGAATGTACCTAAGTTTAACAGTACAAAATGAGTAAAGCCAGGGAGTTGACCCCTGTAGTTGAGTGTTACTGAAATTATTCATAAAGTATAACTTAATTTTGATAAACCATTTTATAATTTTAATAAACCATTTTATTTATATGTTAGGAGTATCATTTACCTGCAGTATTGTGCCGTCATTCTTTCCCATTGCTTATTACTAGAATTACAATTTACCCATGTGTCAAAACCCTCGGGCCACGCTACCAAAGGTGAGAGGTTATGGAGTAACGATATGAAATGAAATAACAAGACAAATGAAATAAAAAATTAAGAGAAAACCAGATTGAAGAGTTTAAAAGGTAACTACCATGGTATAAATTAAAAAAAAAACATTAAAGGAGAAACTCAGCTCTTATAAATGGTTTGCAGCGGTAGGATTGTAATTTAATATGGTATCGAGTTGGGAAGAATGAATGTGATACTGTCGGTGCTGTTAACTATGATTCGTAATAACCATTTCTCTGTATCTAATAACCATTCCACGGTAACTAATAAGTATTTCAGATTGCTAATAATTTTGTTCCGTATTTTTCCAAGGAACAGTACATTGTACAGTATATGTAATTCTGTACTAATTAATTAGGGACATAATTATTTCAGTAGGTAATATAATTTTTTGGGTGGAAGCAGTGTTAAGGCATGTACAGATATTTTTTGTGGTTTTATGGAGAAAGTGAAATAACAGTTCAAAGAAATACCTCACTTGGATTTAGGTTAGAAAAACAATTGCCTCAAAGAAAAAGAAAATTCTTGTTTTAAAGTAAATTGTACTTGCAATACTGGTGTATAGTAACACAAAAAATATTCAGAGTAATGATAATTTTCTGAAAACAAAGGCCAGCTACGTAACCATTGCTTGTTCTTTATAACATCATTGGTCTGTGAGTGTAGAGATCTTAGATTAGGCTCATTAATACATGAAGGGTTTGATGTGTGACAATCTGCCCCAATTTTTTTTTCTCCAACTTGTATTAACTCAGTTATTACTTACAGACAGTGAGTATATGTTCGGGCCATGGCACTAGAGTTTTGTGAAATGTTTTCATCATGGGAGTGCCCAGTGCTTCACTTCTGAGGTGCTTCCAGAAGTCTTGCACTGTACACAAAGGTTAAGTAGCTGCTTACTTTGTGGTTGTGACATTCAGAATTTTTATGTGTTAGGCAGGATATATTCCATTACTTAATATCGCGGGTTTTTTTAGAGTATTAATAGTACTATATGCTATAATGTTGATGTATATTCTTAGCAGATGTTAACCTCAGATTTTTTTTAATGCAGAGTGGTTCATTATTGGTGGTACACTATATGTTATGTGAGATCTAATGCCCTGTATACTTTCAGAGTACTGTATTGCATTTGATTATGTATGAGGACCTTATGGTGCTACAGTATATAGACCCCAGTGAATGCAATCTTTGAAAAGAGTGTGGTATACAG